ACTTAGGCTTCCCTTGTGCATTGCACGTGATTTTTGTGTAGGTAGTTATTGCAAAACTAGCAACTGATTTAACTCCAGAGGGTGCTCAGCTCAGCTGCTTCTCCCCCTTTGCACAAAAAGGACTGCAGCAATTCTAGCTGCCTGTCGTCCTAGAGCAAAAACGCTGCTGCTGAATGTGGGGCCCCTAGAGCAACAATGGCCTGAGGCTGTTGACACATCCATGTGACGGTACACTGGGGCCCCCAGAACATCTGGACATGATGGAGACAACTGGATGGATGGATCCGGGTATGCAAAACCTTGCATGTAGATTGCTAGTTGGGAATTCAACTTTTCTTCCAAATATTCAAAGCCTAATCCTAGACATGACTATTTCCTAAATATTTGTCATGGGGAATCCAATGTACTATTTAAATCCTGAAACTTTTTTATTTATCTTGGTTATTTCTTTTATGTTATTTTATTCTTTTTTTTTTTCAGCTTGGTTGTTGATGGGAGACAGCCTGTTTTAATATTATAAGGAAGGTTTTAAAACTTTTTTAAAGGATTTAGGTGAGCCTCAAATGTTAGAGCCACAAAAATATTTCTAATACATTTTAATTATTAAATCTGGACTTGTAATCAAAAGACATAAACTGTGATAATAGGAGTATATTGTGCTTAGGGATTGGGAATTCTTATAAAAGTGCTATCTCACTGTTTGCGGTCTATGGAGAGTAAGTCCTCACTTACGCTGGCTTTTCTCTCTGACTTGCTTATATTCTCAGAATATAAAAATACAGTAGTCAAAATGCCACTCTCGGGGAGTCTGCACTTAGTTCCTGAACAAGGATTCCTTTCTAAATAGACCCTTGTATCATTTTAGTACTCATTGTTTGCTGAAATCCGAGCTTCCCTAGGAAATTAGAGCAGTTAATTTAATATTGTGAAATGTTTGGGGGCATCTTGCCTTATTCAGAGATAGGGGCGTATAAATCAAATTGGGGATTCTGTATAAAGCAGAGGATAATAAAAGTTGCCTCCAAAAAAGAATGAGCTTTTGTTGCTCGGCTTCATCCTGGCCCCACTGCATTCTCTTTTGATTCCACGACTCCTTCTTGGGTCACCACTCTGGGCTTCAGAAAGATGGAGCACCTGGAGGACTGAGCCACTGAGGACTACAGTGAATCCTCAGTCATTTTTTATTATTCAAAGAAGGGCCTTGGGGCTCCCTCAAGGGTGGGGTTGCTCGGGGCTTAGCACTTTCCCCTGTGTAGTTCCATCTCAGCCTGGACAGTTTCACTAGAAGTATCATTCTACGTGTGCCAGTGCCTGGGAATTACCTGGCATCTGGGCACCAGGGTGAGCTTTATTCTGAGGAAGAGGGACTCTACAGCAGTGAGAAGTATATTTGTGTTGCCAAGGAAAAATAGAAGAAGGAGAGCCCAGCTCTGTCTGCTCACACGTCCAGCGCTGTTTTTTTACCATGACTCCAGAGTGATTGTGTGCTTGGTGCGGTATGTGCAGTGGGCTTTTTTTCATTTGACTCTTTTTTTTCACAGAAAAACATTCATTTTATTCAAACAAAAAGAAAAAATCATAATTTACATCATGCCAATAATTTATAATTGATAATTATAATCTAGATTATAAGAAACATATTTGAGTAAATTCCATTTTAATAATCTCAAATTGGAGATTGAAAATAGTTTTCTTGATTTGCTCTTAAAACTATAATAAATATCAATCTTGGTTAAAAATATTAATCAATATTCCCAGGGACCAAAAAAAGAAGTTTTGCTAGAGATGTGGTTGATATAACTGGGTGAGAGAAAACAGAAAGATTAGAAAGAAATAAAGCTTTCTTCTTATTCCCAGATAATATTTGGGACACAGTAGCAAAGGCAAATCTTTATTTATTTAAAGTCGCAATGTGGGCACATCAGCTGCCAGAAACACACTACGGAGTCAAATGCTTTGGCCTCGACTCCAGAAAGTTCTCAGTGTGCTTAGTACCACCCGACACTGTGGCCCTCAAAGAGGGGTTGGGCTCGTGTTTATCTTGCCTCTCCTTTCCTGTGCTTCAAGACTAACTTTGAAGTCTCTGAGCTGTCATTTGGAAAGAAAAGAAAGCCTGCGGGAGCTGAGAGCGTGTTTACTTTGTTTTAGGGACCAAGTGTATTTGCGTAAGAAATCAGGAATGACAGTGGACTATCAGTTGGGTTTTGTGTGAGCACTCTGAGCTCCGTGCTACGGAGATACAAAAGCTGAAGAGTGGAGTACATCTGGGGTGCTTCTCATGGCCCAATGAACCCCCCAAAGGCACATCCCCGTAGATCCTCACAGGGGATGACTGTCAAGGCTGGGGCACAATTTCTGTTTGGTTTAGCTATGGTTAGGATGAAAGGAGACCAGCTCAGATATAATAAATATCTCCTAGGAAAGCACATTTCAGCATAAATATTTTAAATTTTGATACATTTTGTATGCGTTAAAATAAGCTATAAAATACACCCACAGAGGGGCTTACATTACAGCTCGGTTTTCCCCATTTCACATAAACGAGATGTCAATGTGTGCCACTCGATGAAAATATTTAAACATCGAGTAATTAATAATGTCATAGATGTCTCTGCTTTTAGCCTTAAAATGTTTGGGTCTTCCCAAAGGCACTTCTTGCACACCACTCCAGGGTCTTAGGCTGCAGGATTGTGATGGAAGGCTAAGTAGTGGAATTTTCAGATCTCTGGCTCACCTCCTGCTGCCTCCCCTGTTTGTCCTCATTCCACCATTGTGTTTTTCCTCTTCTTTCTATGACTTTCTGGTTTAGCGTGAAGATTCCACATTTTTTCATGCAAAATTCTGTATATGTAGTTTTCTATTTAGTTTCTGGTGCTCTGAAAATGAAAAACAAGAGAACATGCTCCTCAAATCCACAAATAAACAACAATAAATAATGGCAAAGACTTCTCTGGAATGCGTGCAAAAGCAGGTGTGCTAATGCCGTGTCTCCACACACACACACACCCCACCGACTTCCCAATATGATGACTTAGATACTTTTCTACTTCGGCAAGTAGTGCCATTTTGCCGAATTCAGCATGTTCATTGAATAATTTTTTGGATCCAAAAGCCAATTTTACTGCATTTCTGCTTGGTAAGGTTTGGTAGCCTTGGCATGGGGGGGGTGTTGATTCGTTGGCCTTTAAATTGATGATAACTCTAGAATCTGGGCAGCACTACTAGACTGTCTTAATAGAGTCTCTGCAGGGAATCAGCAGTCCCTGTGCCACCCAAAACCCACAGGAAGAACACAGCAAATCCATCCTGAGTATGCTCTGGAAGAATTAGGGGCAGGAAGGTCTCAGTGGAATCCACGTATGTGGGCGTCAGACAGAACTCAGACACTAGGTGTAGAACTCGTCGATCTAAAGTGTGTTTTTGCTTCTTAGAAATGTGCCGCTCTTTATTTCTTAATTCTGAGCATCTACATTTTGTATTGTTAATTCTATTAGGATGATACAATTGCCCCAATGTTGTGACAGAACTTGTAATAACACTCAACGTTGTAGCAATTTTAGGTGTTTCATTTGTGTGCATTTGTACGATCCCACATCTATTGGTGTTTTCAATGAAAACACTTTCGTTTCACTTCTATCTTTCTCTGGTAAGAAAGTGAAGCCTTCCATTCATGTTCCTCGCTGTTATTGGAAGCATCTTCTATAAAGACTTACCTTGGCATAGATAAACACAAGGTACAAATGTGAATTCCGGCCACAGGAAGTCCTTCCACCTGAGAGGGACTCAATTTTTCTGCGGGGGGGGGGGGGGGGGAAAGAGCCTCTATAAAGGAGTTTGTTTTGCTTCTTTACTGCTGTCCTACTATTCTTAACCTGCCCCATCCGAAGGCCATGGTGTGTTCTACCATAGATATTACAGTGTTAATAATAATTTTCTTTGTTGCTTTTTTAGGAATTAAATGTTACATATAATATATGATTTTAGGTTAGTAAATATCCTGACTTTTTTCCATCATATATAGTATGTACATAGAGAAAATTGTATCCACTTGTTATGTATGAACTAAAATACCCCATTCCGTAACTGGAATGTGTATTAGTCAAGTCATCTTTTAAAAAGACATTATTTTCCTGTGCAGAGGATGGAAAGGAAAAAAAAAAAAAAAGGATGCTTGAAATAGGTGCATTTAATTCTCCCCAATTTAAATGTAAGTGGTACATCTTTAAGGCAATAACGATACTCCTTTCTCTCCCCCTTCATGAATGCTTCTATCAATGAATTTCTTTAACGTTGATGATGGTTGGTGCAGTTTGAGGGAATCTGTAGTTAGTCAGAAAATGCTTCAGTAGAATGACCTACCAGATGGGCCCCATAACAATGCATGGAGACATCAAACCACCACAGACATTTGGTGCTTAGAATAATAAAAAGACTATAAAATTAGATTAGTTGAGTCTAATTTGGAATTGGTATATTCCCTATGCACCCTCACCGCTCTTGGGCAGATAAAGCCTTGAGATTTAGCGCTGTGTCAGAGCAGAAAGACTGCAACTTCCAGTAAAAGGGAGACGAGGGAGAGAGGAAAAAGCATTCTGGGAGGTCGCGGAGGGCAGAGCAGTGACCTCCAATGATTTACAGGCCTTTAGCTTAATGAAATTGTTTCAGTGACATGACGGTAAGAGCTCGTAATGGATTGGATGCCCTAATGTAATGAAATTACTCCCTTCTGCCTAAAAAAAAAAAAAAATGCGCAATTAATATTTACTGAGACCTGACAGCCTTTGGTACGCTCGTCTGTGTAGTTCTCTCAGACAGTCAGAGAGGAGAGACAGAGCAGCGTGGCAGACAGGCTGGCTCTGCACGAGCTCCTGGCAGGGATGAGCAGAGCCCGCAAGAGGGTGGAGGGACAGGCGCTCGGTGGCCAGGGACGCCCGGCCCGGCTGCCCAGCCCCTCGGCTCTGCCCCTGCTCAGCCTTCACGCTCTCCCTTGCTTTTCACAGGCAACTGGACAACAACCACATCAGCTGCATTGAAGATGGAGCCTTCCGAGCGCTGCGCGATCTGGAGATCCTGTGAGTTGATTTTGCGACCGCTGCCTTGTGTGTGCGTGCGTGTGTACGGAGTGTGCTGTGTCGGGAGGAGAGGGGGGATGTGCGTACAGGGGGCTCTGTGTGGGTGCGTTGCTGGGTCTTCTACTGCAGTGCTATTAAACTGGGAACCGGGAGAACCCTCTGGCTCACCTTGGCCAAAGTGTTTGCAGGCAGCAAAGTGTGATTTCTCACCTCCCACAAGCTGGGGTCCCTGCTAATTAAGTCTCAATTGAGTCATTTCTCCCCCGTGCTCTGGCGCGTTTGTTGCCGGGTGAGACAGATGGGCTGGAGTGGCCCCCAGCATCTGCTAGTGCATCAGGGAGAGACAGGTTACAGGTCTGGGGCCAATGAGAGGGTGAGTGCCAGAGAGTCAGTTGGAATTAGCCAGGATCAGAAAGGGACCCCGGCACAGGGCAAGGGGGAAATGGCAACCGGCAGCCTGGAATCTTGGAATCTCGTCTCGGGTTCAAATTCAAACTTTAAGCCGCAACCTTAAAGTGGCAGGGGGAAAAAGAGGCGAAGAGGTGCCCTTCCCCGTGATGACAGCCTGCACACTTTGTCTAGAAAACATAGATGGCTATCTTCTGTGTCCCAGATCTTTAAATGTTCTAACTAAGGAAACCTGATTTCTTGGGGGGAAAGTCAGTGAGGAGTTATCCTGGGGTCATTCAAACTAAAGTTGGGTTGTGTAAGAAAACCTGATTGCTGTCACCAGCAGCCGACACTTCTCGCTGTCCTCCAGGGAGGAAGCAGTAAAGAAAGCAGAGTAGAACTTGTGTTAGAGGGAGGTGTGTGCTTCAGTCCCATTTCTGCCCCTAATTAGCAGAGTGACCTTGGGGAAGTCTCTTCGGCTCTCAGAGCCTCAGTTTTCTCCTGTGTAAAACAACAGGCTTGGTTCCACTGTCTTGGGAGAGACGCCTTCTTTTTCAAATTTCTGCAATGGCCATTATAATAGTACAATTCCAGCCAGTGGGTGATAAGAGAGTAGGGTTTGTTCAGCGTCCTTTGAAACTAAAAAATTACACAGTCACAGGTTTTTCGGTGTCTGATTCCAGCAGAGTGAATGAATAAACACCAAATAAATACATGAATGAATACATGAAAATGTCCCTTAGTACACAAAGGAAAGAGAGAAAGGACCTCCCTTCACCTTCCCTTTCACCTGGCCCTGAAGACATGAGCAGAGGTGAGAAAGAGCCCCTCCACCTTGTCTGAGAGAAAGGTTACTGTACTGAGAGGAATTACAGGGAAATAAAAGGGGATGGTGATGCTGCAGGCTACCTGAAATCAGAGGACAGCTGAGAATTCCCAGTACAGAAAAGGCACAATCCACAGCCAGAGGAAGTCAGGTTGTCATTCCTGAGATGGATAGGCTCTCCTCACCCAAACTCCGGCCCTGGAACCAGCAATAAATGCATGTCTACGTGGGAGAGCGTGCCAACCCCAGATGAGTAACCTTGGACTTCTCTTATGGGAAGCCTGCGGCTGAAGAGGGTAGGCATGATTTTCCCTGCCTTTGAAAAGAGGCTGTGTAGAAAGGGTTGCTAGATACATACCACCTTACTTCCGCTGGCAGTGAGAATGACAAAGATAACAAAATTCCTTAGGAAGAAACCAGGAAATAGAAGTCACCAAGTGCCATGAAACGGCTGCGACAACCTGTCAGCCTTCGGGTTTGTGGTATGTGCTGAGAGTGGTAGTTTCTCCCCTCCCCCTGGTGAGCAGGCAGCCTGGGGTGAAGAGAGGGCTTTGCTGTTAGGCTCACCTGCATGGGGAAGCCCAGAAGTATAAGACTCGCTTGGGTCAAGCTTCTTAAGCCTCTTTGAAACTTCCTCACCTTTGAGAAGGTGACAGCTTATGCGCTACAGAGGGGCAACTGTAAATTGTCATCCTTTCTCCTCCCCTGACTTTCTCTTATCCTGCCCTCATCCCTTGCTCAGGACACAACTGGACCACTCCTCACCACTCAGATGTTTACTAGAAAAAAAAATGGATGTCCAGTTTAGCAGCTGTCTCCAAGTTAGAGCTCAGAAATCTGGGCTCAAAATCATAATAATGATGATAATAATGACAAAAGTTCATTCCCCCATCATTGCAAAGAGCCCACAGGACTGGATTGGTTTGTCTTCTCATTTCCAAGCAAAGCCAGATCAATAGCTTTGTCTTAAAGATGCTCTCATTTGGCTTCACATGGCTAAGTACTTAAAATTAATCATAATCAGTTATTCCATGGGTTTTTAATTTACAGCCGAGGCACACAGCTTTGGAACTACCCATCTTAATGGTGAGCCACTCTGAAATTGGCTGGAGCTGACATCTCCATTTAAAGTGCCTCCCCCAACACGGGCCAGACCTTCTGAATCGACACATTGACTTTTTATAATACTTCTCTGTAATCACAATTTAGTCACCAGAAAGAAGCTTGGTGATGTAACAGTAAGTAGGACACAAGCGAAGGCATCACACAGTAACTTAAATTTCTCAGAGGTATGCGGGGAGGATATTTAAAACCCCCCATCCCTAAAAAGGTCATTTGTAAGCAGCTAAAGTTTAGAATTTACAAATTAAGACTCTAATAGTTGAGGAGTGGTTGTTCTCTGACATTGGGCGGAATACCGCACAAACGCTGGCTCGTGATATTCTCATGCAGAGCTCTCAAACTTAAGGAAGGTTCATGGGTATCAATTCTTTGTGGAAATATTACACCCATGATAATCCCATTGTTTTGTTCTTCCTGTGGCTGGAAACACCCTAAAATTTTCTTCCATCAAGACTGGGGTTGATTTCACTGATGGCATTGAACAAGGACTTGGGGGGTGAGTCTGGGGAGGACCCTCAGTCAGTGAGGAGGAGAACTGAACAGTGCGGGCCAGAAAGGACTGAACTCTGCCCACCTCACCTTCATTGTTGGCCATGCTTGGTAGAGAAATATCCAGCATAACATATAACAGACAAGGACAGGAGCTTCCACTCTCCCCTTTCCTGGGAGCCAGTAAGGGATATAAGAAAGTATATGGTACAGGTGAAGCTTCCCAAGGTTCCCATGCTGTCACAGGGGACAGAGAAGAAAGAAAATGCTAAGGGTCCCAGTGGTGTGCCCTGTATAACAACTAGCGCTTTACGCCTCTTTGCCTGTCCACAACCTGCCCATGGAGCTGCCATTGCCTTTCGCCTCTTTTACAGCCCTAACCCACTGCAGAGAAGCCAAGGAATGACCTAACTAATGAAAAGCACAGTTCGTGTGATTAACCCTTGCGCCAGACCAACTCTTTGATCTGGGTTGCAAAAGCTGTCATGGTGCCCTGCTCCCCTGAGGCAGGGCCAGAATGCACTGCACAACGGTATGAGCTGGCCTTCAAGAACTGGACCGGGCCAGCTCGCAGTGCCTCCTGCTGCTGCCTTCCAAAGCTGCAAAACTAGCTTTGTTTTTCCACTGACCCAGGTAATGGGTCCCCCCAAAGTGGAAGGTAAATCCACTTGCAGGAGAAAGGAAATTATCCTGCTTTTTCACCAGCTGGCTTTGTAGTTTTCAGACATGATTTAGTCTCACCTCTAGCACAGTGGACTTCGGCACTCGATGTTTAGGAGCTCTTTATTCCAGATAACCCCACCAAAAATATAACCTTAAAGTTTTGGCATTGAGGGTTCTTAGTGTAAGGGGCCAGCACTTTGGGAAGCAAACCCTGTCTGTTACCCCAGTGATTGCCCTCTCATTCCTCCCCGTTTTGTACATTTGGTGATTCACACACTCGCTTTCCTCCAAGTAAGTCATGCTTGTACTGCAGCTGCATGTGCCAAGACTGCATTCCCAGCTTCGCGGGGCCGGGAATAAGGTGATTGCGCTCTGAGCCGTGAGTTTCTAGCCGCCGCCAGCTCAACTGTGAGCACGGCCAGATGTTTCACCAGTTTTACCAGAGTCCTCCCTGCCAACATGCCATCACAGGTACAAAAGGGAAAAAAAGTATCAACCAATGAAACAAAAATGAGAAAACCTAGTTAATGAAATGTGATTCAATTTTTTTTCAATACTATTGCAGGAGAGAAGATAGTTTTAGATATTTGCCCGCAGAATAAGTGTACCAAATCAGAAGTACAGCTAGATACATTGTTTAAATGCCAGACCAGAGAAGTCAGAAGCACAGCCTGAAGGGCTATCCTCTCAGAGTGGCCTGCCCTTGACCGATCACTGGCACCAGCTAAACTGTGCGTAAACCCTACAAGTCTAGGTGACTGCCGTGTGCTCTTTTTGAAGGTCTCACTCTCATGTATGTCACTTGACAATTTTGGAAATTCAGTGACATCATTATAGCCAGGCCTTGGAAAGACCTTCAGTGTCACCTGCACAACTTCTTGGGTGAGGTTGGAGGGAGCGAGGTGCCTCCTGCCATTCTGGGCGCTGGGAGGCATGCTGTGCCCACCTGTCCCAGCCCTTGCTAGGAGACTCACCCAAGGTCATCAGCAAGTTGCCGCTATCGACTAAAGCCTGGGCCTCCGCACCTCACTGTGGATCCACGTTGCTCACCCACAGTAGGTGTCTGCATAGAATGCAACTTCTCAGAGGGAACCTTGCCAGCTTGGAGAGTCAGAACTCTTGGAGAGAGTTTTTCTTTTCAAAACCCACCTACCGTTAAAGTTTTAATACTGCTTAGGGAATTGCGGAAGGGCAAACATTTGTGGGATGGAGTCAGAGGATGATCCAGCCCGGCTGTCTTAAACCAGAGGTGGCAAACTATGCCTCAGACCATAGTGCACCTACAGATGAATATTTTTGGTCCCTGTAGAGTGTGTTTTTTTAAAAAAAAAATGGAATTAGCATTTTACATTTAAAATTTGGGACTGCTTACATAAAAATCTAGGTTTGTGTCTCCTCTGGAGAACCCAGAAGCACTGACAATTGCAGGGCAGCAGTTGTGTGTTGCAGTAGTTGGCCAAGGCTGGAGAGATGGAATGCTCTGTAGATGGAATGGGCAACCCCCTGTGGT